TGGGGCAGGCACCCCGGAAACTGCTGGGCCCCGCTTACCATAAGGAGCTGCCCAGCCTTGCTGAGCTGCCTTTGTCTCAGATGGCTTCTACCGCAGTCCAGCTCTTCTTTCTAGTTCCTGTTTGCTGAGTGCCGGGGCTCCCAGGTGGACCCGTCTCCAGCTGTCTCTCTCATCTCCCTTTGCCCCCTTCCTCTGGCCCCTCAAGCCTCGGTTGCTGTTTCTGTCTTTCCCAGTTTTACTGGGATTGGTTTTACCCTCCCCCCAAAGTCTTGAGCCCTGTCTGTATTTCTGTCTGCAGCAGCTGATGGTGCTTCCCAGGAGGGCACCATACAAGAAGGGTTAACCTAGCCAGCTCCCACCTTGGCCAAAGAGCCATGTGAGGAGGTGAAACCCACGGGAAGAGAGCTGGGTGGGGTCCAGTGGCCGGGGCTCACTGAAGAGCCCCTCTTCTCCTGGCTCACAGGCTTGCCCAAAGTGCTCCATCTGCTGGTGGTGGGGGAGGTGGGTGGCGGGGCGGAGGGGGCGGGTTACTGTTCCTTTAGTGTTGGCCCTCCATGCTAGCTGGCATCCTAAGCAGGAGGGAATCTGAGGCCTGCCTGGCTGGCAGCTCAGGAGAAGGCTGAAGTCAGATGCTCTTGGCTGCTTCAGGCTCCTGCTATAGGAAGATGGGCAATCTTGATGAATCTAGGAAGGGTTCCTCACACGTCACCTCTGACCAACAGATATCTGACTAGCGCTGGTACCAAGTTCCTTCAGGGGGTTTCCAGTTCCCTAGAACCGAGGTGCAGGGGAAGGTGTTGTGCTCCTGAGGGTCCCCCGCTCCAGGGACCCTTGGGTCTGCAGGACCTCGGGGTAGGGAAAGGCTGAGGTGATTGTCTTTCCTTTTCTGTTTGAATATTTAAAAATTCTGACAGGACATTTTATTGCCGCCTGCCTGTCCGTTCATTCATACATTCATCAGTGTGTTTATTCAGCACATCCGCATGAAGCACCAGTGTGGACCGGAGCCTGTGTGGGGCTCTGGTCTCTGCAGTGAGTGAGTGAGAATCACAATCCCTCGTCTTCAGGATCATATGTAGGTGGGATAACTTGAGAAATAAACCTAGTGAATAGGCACATTGATAGGACGAGCGGTACAATTTAGGCGAGGTGAGTTGGGGTGCAGTTGGATTGTCCCGCCAAGGGGTCTGCAGCACAAAAGATCCTACCAGACACGGGCCACAGGTACAGAGGTTCGGGGTCCTTTTAACCCACATTCGGGAGCAAAAAGACACTGGTGACTGCGGTGTGGGGGTGGGAACCAAGGGGGTGAGGCCCAAGTAGGTCCTTCAGCACCAGTGTCCCCTCATGAGCAGGTGCCATGTCCCTAAGCCTTGTGTACCTGTGTGGGCATCTGCTCTAGTAGCAGAAGATGCACCTGCTGTGTGTCATCCTTCTAGAACCTGGTATACACATAGTCTTTTCTTTTTTTCCTGTGTATGTGTGTGATGTGCATGTGTATATACATGTGTGTAGGCACACCTGTGTGTGTGTGTGTGTGTGTGTGTGCACATGTGCACATGGTGATACTGAGTATCTTCCTCAATATCTCTCTACTTTATTTATTGAGGTAGCATCTCTTGCTAAACCCAGAACTTGCTGGAGAGCCTGGATAGTCTGTCTAGGCAGCCTACCCTGGGCATCCCTGGTCGCTGCCTCCTGAGTGCTAGGATGGCAGGTGGCCACCATGCCATCCTGATCCTCCTGTTTGCACAGCGAGCCTTCATCCACCGAGCCCTCTGTCCTGCCCCACATGTAGTCACCCTGCAAGCCATCACCCTTATATACCCCAGGGTTCTGCTGTGCTAATCGGGCTTGGTGGCTGTCAGCATCTCATGTGATTACAGAGAGTGCTGGGAGAGGGTCTTTCCTGAATCATGGCCCCTTGTGTTCACCATTTTGTCTGTCCTTGTCATACCTGTGTGTCCTCGTGGCCACTGTGTGGTGTGCTTCTCTTGACCTGCAGGTTTGCCACCCAGGACAAGAATGCGCTGCTGCTTTACAACGGCCGCTTCAATGAGAAGCACGACTTCATCGCCCTGGAGATTGTGGATGAGCAGCTGCAGCTCACCTTCTCTGCAGGTAGGGCATCCTGGGCGGGGCCACTGAACACCCCCAGGGAGCAGGTGTGCCCACCTCAGCAGGTAGGGCGTCCTGGGTGGGGTCACCGAGCACCCCGAAGCAGGTGTGCCCACCTCAGCGGGTCGGATCTGGCAAGGGGTGACTTGCATCAGCATATAAGGCCCAGTCAACAGTCATGGGGATGGAGGTTGGGGGCTGCCTTCCCAGACCCAGAGCTCCTCTTTTTCTTTTCGAGAACCCTGCTGCCTTTCAGGTTGAGCCCTCAGTGTGGCCGGGGTTCTTGGGTAGTGGCCTTGTCAGAGGAAGCAGACGACTAGTTTCTGAGCATTCTGTCTGCCCTGCAGCTTCGAAGCCTGGTTTGAGGTCCCCATAGATAGGCTAACCTGTTTCTCTCTGTGCAGGTGAGACCAGGACAACAGTGACACCGCAGGTTCCCGGAGGTGTGAGTGATGGGCGGTGGCACTCAGTACTGGTGCAGTACTACAACAAGGTAGGGTGGGGCCTCTGCGCTGCTCCTTCTTAGGCCAGCCAGTGGGTTTCCTGTCTGACATTTGCACTCTGAAATGTAAAAATATGCGCTGTTGGAAGGTGACTGATGTTCGAGGAGAGTTCTGTCAATCTGGGACTGTGGGGACAGTAGGACTCAGATACACTAAGGATACAGAGAGTTTGTTTGTCTGCAGTTTCCATGGATGCAGGTCTGGGCTGGTCAGACATAGCCCCACGCCAGAGCTGCCTCTGGGCTGTGACTAGAAAGTAATAAATTCCCAGCTCTAAAGGCAGGGTGTTTGGGTGTGTATTTGCTTGTTGTCTTTAAGGAAATGTGCAATCAGTTTTGCATCACAAGGTTGTGCTTTCTTGGGCTGTGAGTTTGCAAACCACTTTTCCCGTCCTGGGGAGCCCTGGGTCTGGACACGAGTCCACATCTCCTGGCTCTCAGTGCCTAGCTACAATCCTTCCCAGCCTCCCCAGGGCCCAGGCCTAGGCTAGACCAGTAGACAAGCGATGCGGGGCCTCCTTTCTGTGAGAACTGTATTGTCACAAAGGAATTTTCTGAGTTCCCAATCTGCCGTACTTCAGACATTTGATACTTGGAATGGCCTCTGCCTCCTGCCACTGGAGCCTGGGGACACTGGCTGTTTTTACCCTTTCCTTCCTTCCCTGCCAGTCACCACTGTCTCCCCATCTCCAGAAATTTCTTCTTCTCTGAGGTCCCCTAGATAGGCTCCAAGAATGATCTTCAGTTGTCTCTGTCCTGTGTCCCTGACTATGGGTTGGTGCTGCTCCTTCATGGAGTCAGTGCTGGCCCAGGACAGCGCCTGCAGCCTTAATGATGATGGGGGGTGGAGGGAGGGGCTGTCAGGGCCTGGGGCCACAGGCTCCCTGGGGATCTTGAGGGACACCAAGCAGGTCAGCAGTGCCTGGGTTGGACTCTGGGCTGCCACGGGCCTCCAGGAGCACCCGCTGCCCTTGTGATGGTCCTTATCTCCAGTGGGGCCATGGTGTTGCGCAGAACACAGTGGTCAAAGAAGAAGAGCGAGTCTCCTGGCCACTACTGTCCTGTTTCAGAGCCTTGGGTTTGATTGTGATGACTCTTGGGTTTGGGGGAAGTTTGAAGGATGCCGCCTGCAAATCCCCTACCTCCAGTGGCCCCATGAAAAACAGTAGGATGTGGGACTCTCTCTTTCCTTTTCTCCTCCTGGAACTCGTGGTTGGACACGTGGTTTGAGTTTTTCTTTCCGCAGTGCTGTGATCCCTATGACACATCGTGTCCGTGTGCCTTCTTCTCCACCGTGGTCCTGGCACGGGAGCTCAGCTTTCACCTGTGTGCTCAGAGGTCACAGGTGTCCCTCATCATCACCGTGAGAGAAGATGGGTGCATAATGCACTTTCTCTGGGGCGAGAACAGGGCAGGAGCCATTGACTTACATTGCAGAGCCTGGGGAGAACATTCACGGGATAGCAGCTGTGCCCTCTGGGTACATGAGTGAAGTGTGTCTGGACCACTGTTCTGTGTCCCCATGGCAAGAGGCATGGTCCCTAAGAAGCCCAGATAATACACTGGGCACTCTCATTGATCTCTCCATGCCGTCTGGACAGCTGGACAGGTAAGGATAGACAGGCAGCAGAGTTCCCAGGAAGCTGAGTGAATGCACTTAGCCCAGAGACGAGGTTTTGTGTCTCAAATATGCCTTCGGTCCTGATATCGCACATACCTTCAAATGGAAAGAAAGACAAATAATTCCCCCAAGGGATGCTCTTGCTGGCCCCTGCTCTCTGGCAGAACACTCGGGAATATTTGCCCTGCCACCTGGCTGCCCTTACCGTAATTCCTGGCCTATCCTGTGTGTTCTTCCCTCTACCTGGACCCTCATCCCCAAGGTGGACACTCCCAATGATATGTGCTTCTAGAGGGCACAGGCCCCTCAGGATGGACCATGGGGAACCCTGGGGTGTCAGGGAAACATGGTGTGCAGCTCCCTTCTCTCTTATGTTCGAGATACACATCCAGACTGCAAGCTTGCTGGTGGAGGGTGGGTATAGGACATTGAGCCAGCCTTGGCTTCCCCATCAAGGGTCTCTGCATCCATCCTCTGTGGCCAAAGCAGCAGCGTATCCTGTGGTTGAGTGTGACCTACATCAGCACTCACTGCTGACATCTCTGCCAGGTTGCAAATTCCCTGTCCTGTGAGTCAGCTCTAAACATAGGGAGCATCAACAAGGGGCTGCCTGCCCTCTCAGCGTGGAGCTAACTTAGAAGAGCACTCCATTAAGGAAGGCCACTCCAAATGGCCCAGAGGAAAGAGGGGCCCCATGCTACAGGATTGACATGTAAAGGTGGATTGATGGAATCTACACTTCCATTCCAAGGGCTGGGTCCTTTCAACAGCTCCTCCTAAGCCCCAGTGAAGAAACAGAGCCCTGAGTATGTGCTTAGGCCTTTGCTCAGCTGTTCCCCTCCCTTGCCACAGGGTGTTTTAGGGAGGAAAACTGGTCTCCCTTAGGTCCTTAAGCCTCCTTGTATGGGCCACACAACCGGGAGATGTTAGCAGAGATCACAGCATCTGTCTGCAGCCGTCCCTGTTCTTTCTATGTGATTATCTCTCTAAACTGGCAGGCTTTAGCAGTCCAGGTGTGGGGACAGGCCTGTGGGCCAAACAGGACCCATCAGGCTGGGGACACTTTCGAAATGGGGGAAGGCTAGTAGCCTGAGGTCACAGCACAGCAGTCTGTAAGCAGCAAAGGAGACTCTGAAAGTGGCCTGCCAGGGCAACTTGCTGTCCTCCTCCTTGGCCTCTGTATCATCACCTCTTTGTTTCTGTCCTTTGTTGGCAGAAGGTGGCGCAACCTTAGGTCACCAAAGACAGCTCTGAGGGGAGGTGCAAGGTGATGAGGGAGGGTGAGAGGCACTGCAGGGGCTCAGGCTGTGCCCTGATGGTGGTCTTGAGGTCAGTGGGTGCAGACCCTCCCCCGTCTGGCTGTGCTGGCCTTGAGGGCTGGCCCTCTTCCTTCCTGAGCATGCTCAGACTGCTGTGCTCACCCCACTGGGTTTACTCTTTGTGTTATTAAGAAAACGTGCTTATAGGGGCTGGAGAGATGGCTCAGCGGTTAAGAGCACTGACTGCTTTTGCAGAGGACCCGGGTTCGATTCCCAGCACCTACAAGGCGGCTATGAACCATCCTTAACTCCATTTCCAGGGGAATCTGAAGCCCTCTTCTGACCTCCGAAGCATTGCATAACACGGGTGCACTCACATACATGCAGGCAATACACTAAAATTAAAATAATAAAATATTTAAAAAAAGAAGAAAATGTGCTTGGAGACTTCACATCTGACCCTCCAGTGAGGGTAAAGTTGATTGCTGGTGTCACTGCTGTCTGCTGTGCTCTCCCTGAGGCCCAGTCGTCCACCCCGCTCTCCCCAGTCCACCCCGCTCTCACAGAGTTCTGACTTCCTTCAGGTATTGTTTTGCTCTGCTTTGGTTCTGCTCTGGACATGCCACGTCAGCCTGACAAAGTGGTTCTGAACAGAGACTACAGCGTCCTGCATGGGAACCTTCTGGGATCCTCCCTAGGTCTGCTGGTCTGTGGGGACATCAGAGCTGCCAGACTGGCTTCTTGTCGGGTCCCCAGGGGAAACAGGTGGGACACACAGATAGTTCAGGAGGGTCTATTTACAAAGGACAGACCAGTGCGGGGCGGCGGGGAAGGGAAGGTAGAACTGTGTGGCCCTCAGTCCTGGAACAAGTGCTGTGGGACCACTCGAGGAATGCAGTGTGTGGTGGGGAGAGATGCAGCCCCAGGGCTAAACCAGCCACACAGACCTCCCCAGCAGGTGGGCAAAGGCGGTTTGCCTTTTCTTTCTGCTTCGTGGCATTTTAAGTGAGAATTACTGGTTGAATTCACCATCAGGGAAACCAAGAAGTGTGCTGGAGCTGGCTGGTGTTCTCGAGAGTCAATTGGAGGCGGCCGCCACTCCTGCCTACTGAGCTCCTGTCCAGCAATTCCTTGGAAGCATTAGGGAAATTATAGCCATCCCTTTATTGTAGACCTGCATCTTTCCTGAGACTCTTCTGAAAGATTATTAAGCGTTTCCAGCACCAGATGGCAGACTTCCGGTGCAAAGCATTTGAAATTTCTTTGCACTTGAAAGTCAGGTTTGGTACTGGATTTAAGTGTTTGCTGCTGTGCCACCTACCTTTAGGATCCAGGAGCGTTCACGGTGTGGGAGAGAGGCACTCTACATGCTTTAGCTTTGTAGTGGCATCTGATCGCTCTTCCAGAAGTAGACACTGTTTGAAGGGAGGGGTCCCTGCATGCTGCCATTGATTGGTCCTCTTGTGCTGTGTGAGGGATTATGTCTCTACCCCTTGCCTTGCTCAAGAAGCCCCAGTGGGGGCTGGTGAGACAGGAATGTTGCAGTGAACCATGTAGTAGGACCATCCTGCCTGCCTCAGTGTGGACACCAAGGGCACTTTATGGATGTGGAGCTGTCTACCTGCAGTCTTTGGGTCAGTCCCTGCCCACTGGGAAGTGCGAATGTGCCAGGGAGGTTTGTGTAGCTGACTTGGACATGGGGGCAGTGTGGCCTGTTGTGTGGGAAAGGCTCAGGATGAGAAAGGCAGGACGTGGGGTGTGAGACCAGGGTGGGTCTGCAGGGAGAATTTTTTTTTAATTTTTTATTTATTATTTATTATTTTTATTTTATGTGTATGCGTGTATTGCCTGCATGTATGTGAGTGCACCCGTGTTGTACAATAGCCATGGAGGACAGAAGAGGGCTTTGGATTCCCCTGGAGCTGCACCATCTCTCCAGCCCCCTGCAGGAAGAATTTTTATGAAGAAGGGATTGGAAGGAAGTGAGACTGGCCAGTTGAGTTTCTCCACCTGGCACAGCCAGCAGTTGGGGTTGATGGCTTTTTGTTGGGGGGAGGGGACTGTGCCATGCAGTCTCCCTGGCCACCAGCCATGAGATGCCACAGGATCTA